TAGTTTGAATATTTAAGTAATTGAACAACCCATGATTCCAAATAATCTAATAAAATGAATGAACAAACCCAAGATTCCGATAATGAATAAAACAAATAAAACAAATAATTTGAATAAAGCGAATTAAATTTTTAATTCGAATTAATATTAAAGGTCAACTGTATTACGAATAATTCGAATAAGAATTTGTATTACGAATAGAAGCCCTAAATATATTAATCTTTAGATAATAATAATAATAATAATAATATTTTTTTATTACCAACTTGTATCCATGGCATTATGATTATTGCCACTACCACCGTTATTACTATTACTATCACTACCACCACCACAACCCTTTAGAGCTTTGTTCCGAAATATTCAAACCTTGCTTGATGTACGGTGCCAAAGGTCTATCATTAATAAATAAATTTCTTTATTGTTAATTATTATTTTCCCAATTCTTTTGTATTCATAATTATCAAACAATAAATTTAACTATTATTATTTTGAAATTTTGACCATGTAATTTTAAAATTCTAATAAATTAAATAACTATAAATCAGTCCCTTATAATCAAAAGCAAAAATTTTCTAACACAGCCTTCCAAGTGGTTATAAGCGACTTTGTAGGGAACACTTTGGCACAACTGTTGCGGCTGAATTTGCATACTAGTTGAGCGATAATCTTAAAATAAGTGTGAAGAAAAGAAACATTTCCGACCTGGCGTAGAATAACCAATATTTAAGCTAGCCTTTTCTTTTGACTGTTGTTAAAAGTCCCAGTCTGGCTCTAGAAATTTTATTATGGTTGAAAATCGCTTGCTATATGAAAACAGATTTTTTTTTTTTTTGAAGTGGACGATAATAATTTTATTTGTGTAACGTTTATATTGAATGACACTTGATCCGCAATGTCCCGTGACTATTATAAAAATTTTTAGATCAAGATCCAAATATTTTTAATTCGTAAAAAAAACTACAATATGAAGAGTGATTACAAAGTATTATTACTATTATATATAAATCAATTCTTGTTTAAGGCTTCTTGCCATTATCTTTTTTAATAATAATTTTTTTCAATTAATAGTTTTCTAATTTGTGCGGAACAGTGTATACTCAAGGAAACTTGTGTTTTACACCAGATGGAAATTCTTTATTAAGCCCAGTTGGTAATAGAGTTTCGTTGTTTGATCTTGTAAAGTAAGTTGTTGTTTTATTATTTGAGCGGTCAGAATTCCTACCTGTATAATATTAATTTAAATGATCTTTTCCATTAAATATCATATTAATATTAATGCTGTAGTAATAAATCATTTACATTTCCATTTGAAAATTTAAAAAACATTTATCGAATTGCTTTATCTCCACAAGCTACCTTATTACTTTCTATTGATGAAGGTAAAAGAATCGTTATTAATAAATTTTAAAAGAATTTCTTTGATCGGTTGATTAAATATTTTTTTCTATACCATAAGATGGTAGAGTATTATTAGTAAATTTTCAAAGACGAATTGTTTTAAATCAATTCAATTTCAAAGAAAGAGTTGAAGATGTGCAATTTACCCCGGATGGAAAGTAATACCCTCTTTTTTTTAACTTTACACAAAAGATAATTTATATATACAATTTCTATGAAAATTTTTTCTAATTATTTATTATTATTATTTTAATTAGATATTTTGCAATAACACATGGTAAACATATTCAAGTATGGAAATCACCAGGATTTAATCGCGAATACGCACCCTTTATAATGCACAGGAAATATACAGGACATTATGATGATGTTACTTCAATAACTTGGTCTAATGATAGTTGGTATGAAAAATTTACATTCTGTATATAATATAAATATGCTATGGAAAAAGAGTTTTGTATAAAAAATAATGAAAATGATATGTAATAATAAAAGGAATTGATTCTTTGAAAAGCTTTTTCTTATCGGCTTCAAAAGACATGACTGCAAAAATTTATTCTTTAAATCCTATTGAAGACTTTATTCCCATCACATTGACTGGTCATAGAGATTATGTTATTGGTGCATATTTTTCTGAAAATCAGGATTTGGTAAGTTAATTTAATTATATATTAAAAAAAATATTGCTAATAATAATAATAATAACTGATAAAAGTTTTATATATACAAATTGATTATTTTGAAACTGAATTATGTTAATAGATATATACTGTTAGTAGAGATGGTTCACTTTTCATTTGGAAGTATACTTCATCAATAAAAAAAGCAGATGGTGAAGGAGAAGACGATGAAATGGATGTGGATGCAGATGCAGATGATCAAAAGAAAAGATGGATGATCTCATCACGTCATTATTTCAATCAATCCAATACAAAAGTCGCATGTTCTGCTTATCATAAAAAATCAAGTTTATTGGTTGTTGGGTTTTTATCAGGAATTTTTGGAATTTGGGAAATGCCGGATTTTAACAATATTCATACACTAAGCATCTCTCAAAAAAAAATAAATTCCATTGCAATCAATCCAACCTGTGAATGGTTGGCATTTGGATCTTCGAAAATGGGCCAACTTTTAGTATGGGAATGGCAATCTGAGTCATATGTGTTAAAACAACAAGGACATTTCTATGATATGAATACATTATCATACTCGTCCGATGGACAAAATATAGTAACTGGCGGTGATGATGGTAAAGTTAAAGTGTGGAATACAACATCAGGATTTTGTTATGTGACATTTTCTGATCATACTTCTGGAGTAAGCGTAGTTGAATTTGCAAAAAATGGTCAAATTTTGTTTTCAGCATCATTGGATGGGACGGTTCGAGCGTATGATTTGATTCGATATAGGAATTTTAGAACTTTTACCACACCATCTCCTGTTCAATTTACTGCATTGACAGTTGATCCAAGCGGAGAAATTGTTTGTGCAGGATCTATGGATTCGTTTGAAATTTTTGTATGGTCAGTTCAAACTGGTAAATTGTTGGATATTTTAGCAGGTCATGAAGGACCTATAAGTAGTTTGACATTCAATCCATCTGGTGTAACATTAGCCTCTGGTTCGTGGGATGCCAGTGTAAAGGTCTGGGATGTGTTTGGACGTAGTAAAAATGTGGAAACTTTTAAAAATAGTTCAGATGTGTTAGCAATAGCATTTAGTCCAGACGGGAAACAATTGGCAGTTTCTACATTGGATGGACAGATTACTTTCTGGGATGTAGAGAATGGAAATCCAACTGGAACTATAGAAGGTCGTAAGGATATTTCGGGGGGTAGAAAAGCTGAAGATCGGGTTACAGCAGCAAACTCTTCTTCAGGGAAATCTTTTAATAGTATGTGTTATACAGCAGATGGATCATGCATTATTGCAGGTGGAAATAGTAAATATATTTGTTTATACGATGTAAAAGGCCAACTGTTATTACGAAAATTTCAGATTTCACACAATTTATCATTAGATGGTATACAAGAATTTCTTAACAGCAAAAATATGACAGAGGCAGGACCTTTAAATTTGATTGACGAGACAGGCAATTTAAGTGATTTGGAGGACAGGTTAGATGTGAGTTTACCAGGTACCCAAAAAGGTGACTTATCAGCTCGAAAAACTCTACCTGAGATTCGTTCCAAATCCATAAAATTTTCACCAACAGGTAGAACATGGGCAGCAGCAACGACTGAAGGTCTACTGATATATTCATTAGATGAAACATTATTGTTTGATCCATTTGATCTTGAAATAGATATTACACCTTTTTCAGTATTGGAAACATTAAAATCAAAAGAGTATTTGAAGGCGCTTGTGATGGCTTTTCGATTGAATGAGTTGTACATAATTCATCAAGTTTATGAGAGTGTCCCACCTGATAGCATTGAATTTATTGTTAAAGATTTATCAGAAAAATATATTGACAAATTGATTAAATTTATTGCTACTCATATGGAAGAATCACCTCATATAGAATTTCATTTACGTTGGGTCACTAAAATATTAACTATTCATGGAAAATATTTGAGACAACATTCCAATGAATACTCTAGTGTTTTAAGACTATTGCAAAAATCAGTTGGAACATTTCAAGAAGATTTAGCAAAAGTGTAAGTTATATATATATATATATATATTTGTTTCTTTATTGATAACAATTATTGAAAAACTGATTGTTATTTAACAAACAATTTATAGATGCGATGATAATAAATATATGATAAAATATCTTTTAAGTGTTATTGAAAAAAAGAAGGAAGGAAGGAAGGAAAACTTGAACGAGATGTCAATTTAAAAATAATCTAGATTGATATATATATATATATATATATATATATATAGTATATATTAATATTAGTAAAGATTTATTTATTATTTCTATTTTATTTTTTTAATCCATTATGATTTTACATTTAATATTATTAATTCAAATCAAGTTTTCCAGAAAATTCTGTTAATACAATTAATTATAATTCATTCTCTCTAGTCCTATATGTATTTTTACTTGGTATTCATTATAGAAAGGCCCGTCATAAGTAGAATGAACTGTAATGGTAGTACCGTTAATATTTCCGTCTTCATTTTCATTAGTATTAGTATTAATAATTCCCAAATTGGAACATAAATCACCTTTTGATTTTCTTGTGTTTGTAAATTCTAAAACATGACCAATAGGTGAAGCATCAAGAGAAAATTATCATCTGGAATCAATGTTACAAATTCATTGTGTCAATTTGGTTTGATAAATGTGGTGGTGTAGATAGTAGAGTTGTTGATGTTGCTGATTCATAAAGATAAACTTTAGAATTAGCAATAAATGAAACAAATAATCATATGCCACTATTTCATCTGGTTCTAAGTCTTGATAAATTTTGTAGCATTTGGAATTTTGAAAAAAAAAGTCCCTCTGGCCGCTCGGATGAGCAGGCTACCAAAATCGAAGTTTATATTTTAGGAATTCTAAATGCGCTACCATCCACATACAAGTATTATTGGTCGATTGATTGGTCAATAGATAAAGTTGAACTTTCATTAATATACTAGGGTGTTTAAACCCGATAGTTCCGTGACAGTCAATGATTCCATAAAACAAGAGGCTATCATTTTTCAATTTCCTTGTCTGTTGTGTCAAGTTACAATTTTTAAAACTTCAACATTGTTTTTCTTTATGCCTTTTCTTTTATATTATTATTAAAAATACTTTTATCGTTAAAATATGACAACTTTGATTTGATCGATGTCATGTCTGTATCTTTTAAATCAGAATATTAATCGTCTTGGATTCTTCCAATTATCCAATTAATTACATGGATCTTTTTTTGACAGCCAGCATATAATAATAATTATCTATAATTTCAAGGGAAAAATTACGACAGACAGTATAGCAGAATTCAACTAAACTGAATCAAGTTAGTGAAACTACGGTTATACAAAAAAAAAAGAACTTCAAAAAGACTATTTCCTGATCTTTCTATTAAAGGTTTATAAAAGAAGGCGTAGATATGCTAGTAAATTTATAAATGGATGGATATTGCATGACGTATATATAGAATATTGGAATTGGGAAAATTTGGAACAATCCATATCAAAAATAGACAAAATTCATTTTTTTAAAGTAAATTTAATTTACTATATCTTTCAAAGTGGTGGCTCCCTAAATTGTATCTTCCGAGAAAGTTATACAGCTGTTTTCCAAACATATGGGTAATTTTTGTTATCATTAATTAAGAGCAAGTGTCTTCAATAAAGCCTTATAAATAAAAAAAAATTTTTGAATTGTCATTATAATAATGATGGTAAATAGTTTCGTTTTGATGAGAACTTTTTTGAAAATTCAAAACATTTTTAATCTTACATTACGTAAAAATATATTTATAATAATGTGACAAATTGATGTGCGTGACAAATTAGTGATTCAAATCTTGAGATTTTTTTTTGTGTAAAAAAAAATTGGCAAATAATTACTTTTTTTTTTAACAAAAAAAAAGAATTAATTTTTTTGAAAGGATTCAAGGCGCGACAATCCAAGTTTAAGATTGTCACCTTGTGTATCCATCCACCTATCCATCAAATTATAGTTATGGCAAGTCTAATAAGTCAGAATTTGTTTGCTCTTCTTGGTGAGGACGAAGATGCCGAGAAAGCTGAAAAAACCAGTGAAACTGCAACAACCCCTCAAAATGAAACTGTGTTAGTTCAAAAACAGATTGACAGGTCTCGTGCAAGTAAAAAAGAAGCAAGAATTAAACATGATTATCCTCAACGAGGAGGTTTTAAAAATAGTGCTCCTAGAGGAAATGATGATAATAGATCGGGTAAATACTTGTGCATGTATATAATTAATATATATTGATATTTGATTTATGGAATAAATGAATTCAATATATATAAAAAAATTTGTTATATTTATTACTATTAAAAAAAACTTCATTAAAAAAAGGGCCTCGTGATCTTAATGTAGGACCTCGTCTTCTTCCTGGTCGTCATGAAGAAAATGATACCAATAATTATAATTATAATAGTAACAGAGATTACCCATCAAGAAGTTCGCGTGGTGCCCGCCCTGGTGAAAGGGGCAGAGGTGGTCGTCGTGATGGAGGAGGAAGAGGTGGTCGTGAATATGATAGACATAGTGCTTCTGGAAGATAGTATGCAATATAAATATATTTCGATCTATATATTTCGTATGCTTATATATCTAACCAACATCATCATGAATATTTAATTATATAGTGATAGTGAAAAAAAAGAAAATCAAGGCTGGGGGTCCAATAATGCTGATTGGGAAGATAAAAAAAATAAAACAAATAACAATGTCCAAATCGATAATAATGTCAATAACAATGGATTTTCTTCTAATTGGGAATCTGGTAATAATGGCAATACTGCTGATGATAGTAACGCTTGGAATAGTGGTAACGCTGAATCTCAAGAACAAACAAATAATTGGGGAGCAAATGATGAAAGTGGTTCAGGTAAAGTAGAAGATCAACCGTGGGAAATTAAAGAAAGTACTGGTGAAGCTGATGATGCGAAAGGTGAAAATATCGGTGACGACGAGGCTGCTGCTAAACCTATCGAACCTGAAGAAATTGTTAAAACACTAGAAGAATATTTATCTGAAAAAGCTCAAAAGACTCTTGACATTTCACTTCCTGAAGCAAGAAAACCAAACGAAGGTGTTGATGATAGTCAATGGAAAGATGCTGTACCTCTTGAAAAGAAAGAAGAAGAGGATATTTTATTCTCTGGAAAGGTGGAATATTTTTTATATGTATGATTTTATATGATCAAAATAATTTTTAACCCGGATATTTATTCTTTAAAAAAAAAATTTAATAATAATAGGAACAATCTTTTAAAACCAAGAGTAAGAATAAAAAGTCAAAAAATTATTTGGAAATTAAACCAACTTTTGATAAACCTGGAGGTTTTCAACGCGGAGGAGGTGGTCGTGGTCGTGGTGGTGGAAGAGGTGGTGGTGGTGGTGGCGGCGGCGAAAGAAATTATGATAATCGTGATAATCGTCGAGGTGGTGGTGGTGGTGGCGGCGACAGAAGTTATGATAATCGTCGAGGCGGCGGTGGCGGCGAGAGAAGTTATGATGATCATAATAATCGTCGTCGTGGTGGAGATGGCGGTGGCAGCCGTAATAAATACGTTAATATTGATGATCAAAGAGCATTTCCAAGCCTTGGTAATCCTGTGCAGTTGTAGTTTCAAATTTATGAAATTTATTATCAAATGAACAATTATTGTTAATTTTTTTCAATCAATTATATATTTATTGTTGTTGTTGTTATTATCTAATTGGTTGGGACATTATATATTTACATATTTTATTATATATTATACATATATTTACATATACATTGTTTTTTGTTCAATATATCACATCATCATCATTATTATTGCATGTATGATTTCAAATTTGGTATCAACAGAAATAAAAAAAAATTTTGGTGCTTTGGTAATTTTGGTTACTCATCAATCGATCTTTATATCAATATTATTATATGATTTACAATTAAACAAAATGGGTTAGTTCTTTTTACCAGAAGATTGATCTTCATGGATGTAAAGAAATTTTGTGATGTAGTTTTATTATGATATTCTAGCTATTCAAGGTGTTTTTTTAATTATTTAAAATTTGACATGGCATTTTTATGACATCTCATTTCTAAATTCAACTTGCTAATTTAATTGATTTTTCGCTTATAACTTTATTCATTAATTAAGTAAATATGGAGTAGTTAATATTTAAAAAAAATAAAAATAAAAAATAAGAAAATAAAAACGAAAGTGCACGATAATGAATGAATGAAGAAAAAAAAAAAGAAAATATATATATATAATAGTATAATTCTAGACTGATTATATAATATTTACCCCTAAGAAGAATGATTAAATCTAATTCGAAGAATAAAATGAAGAAATGATAACAACATCATAATAATAGTAATAATTTTTGTTGTTAAGAATCAGCAACAATAATAATTACAATAGAATGTGTGAGAGAAAGATACGACTACTCCATAATTTCATATGATTTTAAAATGTTCAAATCAAAGACCCTTTTTTAATATAATTAATTATAATTTAAATTATAATTATTATGGTTGTTGTTATTTAACTTCTGTGAATGGAAGGGGGAGCAAAGGTCAAACGTTGTTCATAAAATTTAATCATCTACATGGAAAAATTTTTATTAAAGTTTCATGATTCATTTAATATTCCTTAAATCCTTATAAATAATCAATTTTACCTTTTGAGGACATTTCATATTTGCTTCTTTAGCTGGATTTCTTGAAGTTCTACCATCAGCCCTAATTAATATTAATATTTAAAGTAGATTATATTATTCTTAATACCAACTATGATAGCATAGATCAACAATAGTCATTAATATTATTATTAATTTACCATCTTAAATAAACCAATAATTCTCCAGTTTTTTCATCACGAGTGACGGTTTCAACTGCAACAATTTCTTCCTCCCAGCATTCAGAATCATCATCATCAAGACTCTCTTTTATTATAGTTTTAGTTGTTTTTGCTTTTTTGGGACTTCGTTGGCTTTTAGTTTCCTGTTTGGCAGAAGGAGATGATGTGGATAGTCTTTTTTTACCTTTTGGGGCTGTGACTGTTGAACTCTTGGAGCTTGCAGCTGCTACTGTCCTCTTAGAACTTGTGGCTGCTGCTGTAGTTTTAGAACTTGCTGAGCTTTGTGCACTTTTAGAAGTCTTTGATGGATCTTGGAGTTTATCCCAATATTCTTTTACAAGAGCTTCAGCAAAGCTTTAATGTATGTATGTGTATATATAAATATGTTTGAATAGGTTTTACTATGAGATTCATTGCATGATAACAAAGCTTTAACATAATTATTTTAATTATTTTTGAATAATAGTTACACATTGTCTTCGTTTTCCCAAGTTGCCTCATCTTCAGAATAACCTATAACATATAAAGATATTTAAATTAATATATATATATTATATAAAAATCAAGATATTATAGTCTTCTTTTTTCTATTAAAATAATTATATTATTATTAATAAGTAATACCTTTCCATTTGATAAGATACTTTGTTTTGCCCTAAAATTATAAGATTTTATAAAATTATCAACTTGAGATTATTTTTAAAAAAAAATATCATTTCAATTTTTTAAAAAAAGATCGGATACTTTATATTTTTTATGACTAATAACTTCCTCAACTTCATATTCTTCTTCTTCCTCCTCTTCCTCTTCCTCCTCTTCCTCCTCTTCCTCTTTAATCACTTCAGTACCTTCAATTTCAGAAGGTTCTTCATGCTCTTTATTTTCTACTTTATTATCTCCTGAAGTTAAGGAATTATCTTTTCTTTGATCTGATGAATTTGTCCCATTTTGTTCGGTGTCACCATCAGCAGCATTAGGTTCTACTTCGCCATTATAATTTATAATTTCATCAACAAATTCATTTTCTAATTCTTCTGTAGATTTATTTGTCATTTTTTTCTTATACATCTATTTAATTAAATAATTTAATTAAATCCAAGATATCTAATTTGCTTAAATATCTTCAAAGAATTTGTGTATTGAACACTGATTTTGTGATAAAAAAGAGCAAATAATAAATTTCAATGATATTGATTGAAATATATTATATTACCAAAGCAAACAAATAAAAACATAAACTTTTACCTCTTTAAGTTATATTTATATAATATTAATATTACGACTATAATATTAATAGTTATTATGAATTTTTTATATTGAAGAAAAAAAAAGATGCTTCAAAGAAAAAATTGTAAATAAACACAGTAATTTTAAAATACTTCAATTTTATTGGTGATTAGTTTCAATATCACGTGAATAAAAAAAAGCAAGGGGGAGATTGCTAAAAAGAAAAAATAATTGCTTTACGTACTAACTTTTTTAGTTTTCTATTTTCTATTTATTTATTTGTTAGGGATTAATCGTTTTGGTCAAGAATTGAGCTTTTGTAAATCGAGATTTGTGGGTAAAGAGAAGAATATTTTTTCAAAAAGACATTTTCGGATTTGATCGTATCATGAATATTTTAGCACCAGGATATCTCAGAATCAACTTTTTTTTTAGAATCAATCATACGTATGATAATAATTTTCAATACTTTGTACAATATAATTGTTAAATGTGGTCACTATTGCTAGCTGCAGGAATTCCATTTCATCCTCATAAGGTATTTGATAAAAATGCGTAATTATGGTGTAATTTAACCAGCACTGTTATGATATCACTTAACTAGCCTAGTAACTGGACTTGTCTAATGTTTCTAATGAAAAAGCGAACATGTTCGCTTACTTTAGATCATGCAATTGCCTGCGGTGCTACTTGGAATCTACTACTTTCGGCACAGTAACTATCCCATATGTGCATTATATAATCCAGGATTCTAATGATATATCTTTTACCATGTCAAACTCATTATATAACATCATCAAGAAGTTTTGAAATACGTGTTAGATAGAAAATTTAATTATCCACAAAAGTTTACTTGGAACCAAAGTATTTTTATTAAATATAAAAAATATTCTGTTTACTTTTCCTTTATTTCTTTATTCCTATGATAATAATTCTTTATTTCGTCTATTTGCGTGCCTGTTGATTTATCATCAATTGAGACAAGAGGAACAAGTATTATAGCCTTTTCTTCGAGAGTAGTGGTTCTTCTTTTTTTGATTCTCCAGGACCTAATAGTAAATCATTATTAGTATTGGAATTATTTTCAGACAAAGAAACAAAAGAGTCATAGATGACTTTGATGATTTCTTCAACAGCAGGAAGGAACATTGGTTGTTGGGTTGAGTGATGTTTTAAATCTTGTATGAGCATTTCTTGATATTCTTCCGGTTGTGTTTTTTTTTAATTTATAAACTTCTTATCTCAATAAAACCCTCATTCTTTTTTACCTATAAAATTACAAAAGTCATTTTAAAAAGTCTTCAAATAAATCTAGTGATTTACTGAAATCTAATATATTGAATAAGAAACTCATTGTTATATTTTAATAATCATTTAAAAACAATGCTTTCGTGTACGGATGAAAGATAACTAGAAAACTGACTTAACTGAAATTTACATTTGGAATCGCATTCATTGAATATTATAGAGTGAGAGAATTAAGAATATTAACTAGACCGAGAGAGGATACGTTGCATTTGGCTGAAAATTATGTGTTCAGCAATCGTTAATATTGTGTTCTTTATAATAAAATATTAATTGCTATATCTTCATATGAATATGATTCAACAAATTTACTGAAAACGTTCCAATATTTATCCGGGACACAATCACGGTATGTTGTAAGTAAAGCAAACGTACTGTGATAATAATCATATTAAAATAATTTCCTCTTAATAATGGCATTAGCACAGCAACAGCTTGGGTTCCATAGCCACCCAATTCAAATTAATATGATGTTTTAATTGTATCATCTTTAAATACTTTGCTAGCTACATCAATTCTAATGTCGACAAACAAAACGAGTGCATCAATAATTAAATTGGTGTAGAATTCTATTTTGATGGAAGGAAAAATATCAAACGAACTAACGCAATTTTAGTGAAAAAGTCTTGATGGCAAATATGTCTTCTAAGCAAACGCATCCCCTTTCTTACGTTCATTCTTGGCCTTTTAATGATTGCATTCAAATATTTGGTTTTACCATTGTTATTCAATAGATTATAAATCTTCCGCTCCTCCAAGTTCAAACTATTGTATATCTTCTGTAGTTCCAGAAGTTGTAGATGGAGGCATTTCATTAGTATTCGTTCGGCTGATTCGACACCTGAATGATAATGCTGGTCGTTAATAAACTTAATTAGATCGAAAAACTGTTACGTTTCATACAATCTTACCTTCTGTATTGTTAGGTATCTTGCTTGATAGAAACATCAAATGAGGATCACATGACCACGACTTAACCAATATTCAAACTCTGACATGTAACAATCATAATCACTGTGAATCATGGTCCAACTTTGAACTAGACACACACAAAAATTATCGCTTGAAACTTTATTAGGCCTCGTGTCTTACGTGTAAGAACAAAAGCGTTTTGAAACATTAACATCAACACTGATACCTGCGGCTAATTATATTGCATACAAATAAATATAACTATATTTTAAGAATATTCTCATCGTTCAAATACAATTTACTATATTGATATAAAACATCATATCCGTAACTTCTGGATAACTGACTATACCGTTCCCATCCTCAAATTCTTGAACTGAATTTCCTGTGGTTATCTTTTGGATCAATAAGATAGTTGTAATTTGTTTGACCTGGAATTTTTTTGATGATTTTTTTTGTATAATAAATAATTTATTTTCGATCTAAACGTTAATTCTTGTAAAAAATTATATACATGTGCATTTATCATCAATACGTCAATACATTTCTATTTTAAGGTTTTTTAATAAAAATACTCAAAAAATAATACAAAGTATGATATAAAAAGAAAGTGATGATAAACCTTAAATATATTGATTACTTATTACTAACATTTGTCAAATACATCTCCAGCAAGACAAAAACAAATACGCCACAAGTAAATGTTGACTTGTTGGTAATTAATTGAGTCCATATTCTTTGGGGAGATAACTGGTTTATCATTCAAATGTTATACATAATTGTCACCAAAACATATATTTTGAGGTATAAGATCCTGACTAGGAAAGATAATTATAAAGTATGGCCATTCATTGAACAACAATAAAATAAAATAATACTTCTCTATTTTATAATATGGCCCAAGCTTCTACAGGATCTTCACTTGATGTTGAGCTTGGACGAATGAGTGAGTGAACAGCCTCCTCAATCCCTAGCCATAAATTAAATAGTATTTACCCAATTTAACTTTGTCCCCAGTTGTTGGATAAGTAAGAATTCACCTATCTTGAATATTTTATTGAACGTATTTTTGCAAAGCCCCTGTTAGAAAAAAATTTTAGTCAATAGATTATATTACATTACCTTGCAAATATATGAAACAAGCATTATCTTATAGATAACGTAAAGCTGCATGGATAACCTGACACCAAGTATTTGTTGCTGCAATTGTTTGTATGTGTGTAGAATCTATAACTGAAAGATAACAATATTCTGTGTACTCATTTCCATTATTATATAATAATGAGACATCATTAGTACACCTTTGCATTCCTAAAGTACAGCTTAAAGCCTGCTTGTTTTGTTTTCCTTGATGTGACAAAACCATATTGCACATGGGCAGAATTCGTAACTTTACCTACGGAACTTACAACATGTACATGACTTCAAACTATCTGTTTAGGTTAACTTTCTTTATTAACAAACTCAACTTGAAATTACACGATTAAATAGCCTTAATGTATAACATAAATATAAAGTTTCGTGCAAGCTTCGCAATTTTATACAGAGTTTTGCTTTTAAAAATTGGCTTTGCAATTCATTCGTTGTCGTGAGTTGAAAGAACCTATTGGAGTAAAAGGTAAGCAAGGATTTGAAGATTTATTTCGCAAAATTCTTCATTAAAGTGAAATAGGTCAGACAGAAATTCCAAAATTGTATTTATTCTCTGCAAAGCAGAAAATTAAAAACTGTTAATGTAAAAGCATGCCCACATTTAGACTCATTCACTTGTGATCCATCGTCATCAATTAACTGCTATAACTAATTAAATCACTTTATTGCAGTATTATAATCTAGCATCTGTTATTAGCATTTTTTTTTCCTTCTAAATGCGTTTTCAAACTTTATTAAAACACACACATCCAATCAATTTCAAGTTGTACAATTTTAACATCATTTGTCTCATTGATTTCAGGAAAAGACACATTGAAAAAAAATGAACCCTTTTACTACTACTACTCATCAATTAATTTATCAACAACCACCACACACTTCTAATAACGGATCAGTTTCTCCATCTCATTCACCTACCCGCTCACCTTCACCAACAATATCCACAGGCCAAACACCACCAAATCCAGGCTATTCACTGAACCATGGCGTCCAACAAGTTTATAACAATTCACAGCTATTCAACTTTCAACCAAAATTACCGCCAAAAATACAACAACCTTTAAATCATGTTTTTGGTCCACCACCCCCTTTATACAATCAACATACAGTTCAACCAGGACAGTCTCTATCTTCACAATCTACTTTAGCTTTTATGCCACAAATGAACATTCCACTTTCTACAACTGTTCTTAATCCTCTAAGCATAACCTCAGCCCATTGGCAACAACAGCTTAACTACGCTCAACTATCACGAAGGTCGTCTTCGCCTCATCATCATGCAAGGAAAGCTGCGGTGGCTGCTAGGAACAATAATAATATAGGAAGTTCTGCAATAGCAATAACAGATCCAAATAATCCAAATAAACCACCAATAAATGGATTTCTGACAAAAAGAGACATAAATGGTGATACTAATACTACTATTATTACTACCACTACTAATATTAATCATAACAATAAAAGTGATCAGCCTTTTCAACAGTGGACAACAATTGATTTAGGTGGCGTGAGGCTTAAAAATATTAGTAGAGAGCTTTTTCAGTATAATTTTCTGACCACATTGTACATAGGTTATAACGATTTAACACATATATCTCCAGAGATTGGTAAATTAAAAAATCTTATTCTATTGGATATTTCTGGTAACAAATTGGCTATTTTACCACCTGAATTAGGAATGCTGACAAGCCTCAAAAATTTATTGTTGTTTGATAATATGATTGTCACATTACCGTTTGAATTGGGAACACTTTATCAGTTAGAAATCCTTGGATTAGAGGGTAATCCAATTAACGATACTATCAAAAACTTATTACAGAAGGAAGGAACATCTTCTGTGATATCGTTTTTGAGAGATAACTGTCAAGGTATCTACGCATTAATTACTGATCGATCGATCATTGATCATTAATTATTAATTGCTTGTTTTTAATGATAGTGCCACCACGACCAATGAAACGTGAATGGATAAGGATTGAAAGCGAAAATACTGGAAGAGATCGTGGTATGTGCTAACGCGACACAAATTGAATTTTTATATTAGACTTATTTTTCACATGATATTAATTTTAACGATAATAACAACAATAATATTTTTTTTTTGTATTTTTTTATCGATTTCAATAATTAGGTGACATCTTCACGCTTATCTGTTATAATATTTTAGCAAGGAAGTATGCTACTACACAAACATATGGATATACACCTTCATGGGCACTTGACTGGGATTATCGAAAAGAATTAATAATCCAAGAGGTTATGACTTATGATTCAGACATTATATGCTTTCAGGTATATCGCATATTATTATCATCATAAACATTATCAATAAAATTTTAAGGTGTTGAGAATATGGCCTTGTTTAAAATAAATAAATATAAAGTATTAATAAATGATAAAATTTACAGGAAGTTGATACATCACAATATGAAGAGTATTTTAGAGATTCGTTTTTTAAACTTGGAGGTTATGACAGCGTATATTGGCCAAAGTCTCGCGCAAAAACCATGTCAGATTCAGAAAGAAAATCTGTCGATGGATGTGCAACATTTTTTAAAGCTTCAAAGTATCCAATTTTTATTAACGTTGTTGTTATTTTAAAAATTAAGGGTTTTCCAAAAAATATTTATTAATTTCATATGTAATATTATTTATTTAGGTTTCAACTAATTGATAAACAATTAATTGAATTTAATCAAGTTGCATTACAAAGAGCAGACAAAAAAACAGAAGATATGATCAATCGTGTCATAACCAAAGATAATATTGCAATTGTGACATTACTTGAAAATAAGGAAACACATGATCTCATTATTGTGGGAAATTGTCATATTCATTGGGACCCTTTGTTTGCGGATGTAAAATTAGTACAAGTTGCAATGCTAATGGATGAATTAGACAAACTTTGTCAAAAATGGTTTAATATGTATAATAGCAACTCAAATTGGCCATCACCACATAAAATATCAACTATTATTTGTGGTGATTTTAATTCAACTCCTGATTCTGGTGTTTACGAATTTTTGTCTAGAGGTAGTATAGGGCAAGACCACACTGATTTCGGTAATCATATATACGGCTCTTTGACATCAGATGGCCTGTCTCATAAATATCCACTTAAATCCGCTTACTCTAACATCGAGGAATTGCCCTTTACCAACTTCACGCCCACATTTACCGGAGTGATAGATTATATCTGGTATAGTACAAATACATTAAATGTCACAAAACTATTAGGTGGAGTTGATGAAGAATATATATCAAAAATTGTTGGATTCCCAAATGCGCATTTTCCATCCGAGTAGGTTTATTTTATCATTATTATTATTTGTCAAAGATTTCAGATTTACTTATTAATTAATGGATTTTTTTCTTTAAAATAAATTAGCCATATAATTATTTCAACCGAATTCCGTGTTAAACCACCACAATCAGTACAGCCTGCACCACAATTTAATGTTGGAGTAATTAAAAGAAAATAAAAATTGCAAAAAAAAAGGACTGAAAAATCTGTAATATAAATTATTTTTTACTATTTATTTGGAAAAAAAAGGTTTTAATTGGAAAATTTTAGACTTGAACATTTCAAAAAAAAAATTTTTCTTATATATATATAATTAATTAATGAATGAATTTTTTTGTCACGATATTAATGTTATTTTAAGTTAAAGAAAAATTATACGATACATTTTATTTAAAAAAATAAATATTTATTAATTATTTTTTTTTCTCGATTTATAATTCAAAATTTTTTTATAAAATAGATTTTATTTCTTTTGAAATTTATTATTAATTTCATTCACTCAGACTCACAAACAATTCCATGCATCATTCACATATACTTTTCTTCTCTTTTTTTTTCATGTGAATATTTGCCGATTTATTTTTTAATTAATTTATTAATTTTCTTTTTTTTGTTTTGTAATAAACTTTATTCATAAAATTTTAATATATATTATTAAGTGATGATGATTAATAATGATTTATTAACATCAGGCAGTCCTAATGTAGAACAAATTATTAGTCATATGTAAAGTATACTTTAATCAAGCAACCCTGATTAATATCCGATTAATTAATTATCAATGATAATTGATTTACGCGCGTCTTTTTTCTAAATAAAAAGAATGCAAGCCGTAGATTTTTATTGGCCCGGGTTAAGAAAAGGACGCCACCACTCTTTATATAATCTCATTAACTTTTAGAGTCCATGAACATGATGTTATCAGGTTTGATGTCTCTATGGATTACATTATTCTCATGAAAATAAAATTAATTTGCTTCTTTAAAACAAAAGGCCAGTGAATAAAAAAAAAAATGCAAAAAGGAAAATATATACATTTACCTTTATCATTTCCATTGATAATTCTTGGATATCTTTACATTTTCATAGCGTCTGCACTTTTTTTTTCAATGTACCAAATAATTATTCTAACAAAAGACGATTAATTCTGTGTCAGATTTAATGTCCCGACCGCCCTCTTGAAAATACCAGACATCATTTGTTGATTTTCCGTTGCTTTCCTGTTCATTTCCTTAAGAAATATAAAAAGTAATTAACAAATTATTAAAGCTTTTGAAACACCAAACAGAAAGAATCGTCACCATCTAAGAATATATAAGTTGATCTTTTATAACTGATAAATTAAATACTTGTATTTATTTTGATTAAAAAAAAAATATTAATTATAAAGACAAATTTATTCGCGAATAAATATATTTTAAATCTTTTAAATCTTTTTTTTTTTTTTAATACAAGAACGTCATGAATAATAATAATTATTAAAATTTATGACGATTATTTATATTATTATATTATTATATTATTATATTATTATATTATTATATTGTTTATATTATTATAGATTAGATGTACCAGATATAAAGAACCATTTATGAACTAAATAATAATAATAATATTAATAATAAGTTAGAATATGAATATCGAAACTAATCATTAAATATATTTGATTTGAGGAAAAAGGAAGACTTACTCGAAGCATCAACTGGTGCAGGTTCTGTGTGTGATTCATGAGGAATAGATTGGAATAAAGGATCATCAACTGATACATGACCGGGAGTTCCAAATACTGCTATATTGGCACTAAAAAAATAAATTAAATAAATATCATATCATTATTGCGCCTCGTTTAATTACTTCACGTGATAATATAACATCATACTTACGTGCTAATATTATATTTATCAGTTCTATTTGGAGTTTGACCAGAAATTAATTTACGCCAAGCCTCATGAGTTTCATGAATGATTTCGGTAGCATATTTCTATATTTATTAATTTATATAAAAACGCAAGTAAGGAAAAAGGAAAATAAAAATCGTCGACTTGATAAAATATACACGAGCATATAAATATAAATACCTTATTTTTAGCTTCACCACTAAAAGCAAATTGATTTTCTGGTTTACCATCAGGAATTTTATAAATACGGAACCATTCATTACTGGCACGAAGTAATCCAGGCAAATGTTTTTCAACATCTTCGATATCTAATTATTATATATATGCATACGTAAATGTAAATACATTTAATATTGTATATATTAATTATTATGATCATCACCAATATAATTTATAAGTTACCATTTAACTTGGGAGCCAATGGATCATTAACATCAATTACAATAATTTTCCAATCAGTTTCACCTATTTAATTCATTGTTTTTTTTAAAAAAAATTTATTTCTGAAAACATTTCATAATAACAAATTTAACAAAATTAAAATACCTTCATCTAAAAGTGCCATAATTCCAAGCACTTTGACTTGTTTAACTTGACCAGTATATCCAACTTGTTCGCCAATTTCACAAACATCTAATGGATCATTATCACCTCTGGCCTTAGTTTCAGGGTGAGTTTGAGATGGGTCTTCCCACGTCTAAAATAATATTTGTTATTATTTTTTTTCTTTTGATGATAAAATGATTGAAAAAAAAAGAACTTTACACATATATTATTTTAATTTATAAACCATTTCTATTTAAACTTACTTGAGGAAATGCCCCATAATTCCAGATGTAACCGTGATGTGGAAAACAATTACGAACATAGCGAAGTTTTCCTTTTTTAACATCTTGTTTTATTGGATTAAAAGGTTCATCCTTAGAAATCTAATCGATTATTTAGTTGAAAAATAAAATTAAAAATTAGTTGACTAATTAATTTATTAATATATATATATATATATTAAGATTATGTTATACCTCCATTTTTGCATTTGACCATCTTGGGATTTCCACAATGAAATTCAAGAGAGTTTTATTTTCATTTGCAAACAAAGGAATATCATGGAAAGGTGAAACTACAACGCCGTTATTAATATCCTCTAATAAATATCACAATATCACATAACATAATTATTAAAATTATAATTGAAATTATCAATAAATATAATAATAAGAATAAAATTCTAACCAATATAAATACGATGCTCTAAAGTATTGGGTACGTTAACAGACCGAGTTCTGTATTGAGACATTTTTTTTTGAGTAAAATTTGAAAATGGAGTAAATGAATTCTTTTTTTTTTTTAAAAAAAAAAAGTGTTAGATTTGTTTTAAATATTATTGAAATTTTTTTAGTGTAACGTTAAATATTTTGATATTTATGAAATACATGAATATTATGAACACTATGAACACTTGAAGAATTGACGAATAGGCAAGAAAGACAAGAGGAAGGAAATGAAGAAACAATTGTTACCTTACTACCAGTAATAATATTCAAAGTTTTTTTTGATGCGAGATTGTTATTAAACTGTTGAAAATAAAAAATTATTATTATAATCAGGATAATCATTATTATTCATAGCATATATAATACCTTTGGAATATTATTTTTTAAAATTGTTGAAAGAAAGAACAAAGAAGCCATTTGAAAATAATACTTTTTAAAAATTTCAGATTCAGAATTATGATCTGATGATTAACCGACGAGTTCATACCGATAAGGATATGAACATTTGTACTACAACTAACATATAGTGAGTGATTACTTGCAAGTACTCATATGTGACTTGCATGTGTACTCGTGGCACTCATGAGTAAGGTATGACAAAACTTAATATTAATATAGTATGATTATGATCGTTTGAAATTTTTTTTTTTTGGAAATTCGTTTCAAAGAATCTATTGGGACACTTGTTACTATTATACCAAAAATTACTTATCGCGTTTCAAATTCGTTATGTAAACTCGATAAGTCAGTCACTTGATAAGTCGGTTTTGGTCTAAAGAAGTATCTTTGTCGTTCATTTTTTATAATTTAGAAGGAAGAAATCATTCTCACTTGTGAACTACATTTATATTTTATTACTTCGATCAGTTATAATGCATAATCACATATCCTTTCTTTACCATTTTTTCTTGAGTAATTTTAAAAAGAGAACTTTTTTCATTTTAATAATTTGATTATTTATCATGAATAATGCATTAATATTTTACTATCTCATCATTGATTGTATCATTCAATAATTTAGAGAACATTCTTGTCTAATTGCAAACAATACATCTATATTTTTTATCTAATTTTTATATCATCACTTATATCATTGATTATATCGTGTGAAGAATACATTTGGATTCCTATTAAATTTTATTATGTTCAGAAATATATACAAAATGTACAATGTTAATTTCGCAACCTTTTAATGTTTGAGATAAAGATAAATAAATAAATATTTTAAAAAAAAATTTTAAATTTAAAAAATCGCGTGAAACTCGATAAGTCGGTCATAGGGGTCCGCGACTTATCGATGTATCATTATTTTGCCATTTCTAAACCAATTTTAATGTGTCAGTCAACACTATTAGTAATTTTACGAATAATATATTTGAGCATTAACTATATTTGTTCATAATATTATCACAGTTTCAACGAATTATAATTAAATTCGCGTTACGAATTTTAAATTTTTTTGCTTCACATATAAAACTTAAAAAATTCGTTGAAACGCGATCATGTACTTTATTATTATTTATTTATTTGCTTTTCCCTTATCTTATCTAGTGAATCTAATCTTGGATCGTCCAATCGTTTCTGAATGAAATTCAATCACACCATTATTATTGATAAAAATGAAATGTGATTATTAATCAAGTCTCTTGCCTTTTTCCTGCACTCTGACCATCATTCACACCAATCAGATCATGATTGGAAATTATTTATTTGATTGCACCATTAATCACAAAATCAATCAAACAATTTCAAATATGTCTCATATCGTCAAGAATGAAATTCATAAATGTTATTATTCAATTATTTTATTTTCATATTATTATTAAACTGTAGTGTGAAAATTAAAGATTTTGTTCCCGGCTTAGAAAACTGAGAAATAAAATTAATATTAAAATATGATAGGTCAATTATCTCCTTGTAACAGTACTCACGAATATAGATCTTCCCATAAATGGTATGATTTCTATTATGGATATATACAAATACTAATTATAATTCATTTGAAGAAAGAACAAGGCAAAAAAATTGCCCTATATGTTTTCAAAATAAATAATACTCAGACCTATGAAATTTACCAAAAAAAGATAATAAAGAACATTAACACAAAGTCATATAGAATCTGAAAATTGGAAGAAAAATAATTTCTGCCTAAATTAGGTTAATTATAAATATAGGTGAGCATGTGTATATCAACATTACAACAGCAAGAACAGTTGTCACATGACAACAACTAATACTATTAATTCATTCCATGATTTCTTAAATAGACAAAAACTCCTATCATCAACATGTAAATGATTAACTGGCTGTTTATCATCATTATCAATTTGTTTTTCTTACTGTGTTAGTTCTTCTAATTTACTCTTTAAACTGGATAATTTGGTTTGGTTGGTATTCAGTTTGGGTTAAGGTTGCCTGCTGAAACTTGTTTAGCCTGATGCCTAAAGGTACATAGTGCTGAAACCGCCAAAACTATTGAAATGATGAAAGTGATGAAAATGACAAAACTACCAAAACTGCCAAAATGTCAAAAATATAGTTTCAACTAAGGTTTATTTGAAATATCATTGTATTCTTTACGAATTTGAGTATTCAAATTACATTGAAAGTTTATTCAAATAAAACAAATAATTCATGAGTAAGTGAATAAAACAAGTAAGACAAGTAATTTGAATAAAACAAATAATTCATGTATTAAAGTATTGAAGCATCTTATTCTGATCATTATTTCTTTTTGCATAGATGGGCTTAAACAATACCATTAAGAAACTTGAAAGTTTAAAAAATCACATATTGCCAAATTCGGCATGGCATTCTCAAACTTCAATCATTAAAACTATATAGGTGATGCTAAAAGCTCACCAAAAAACCTATAGGAAAAAATTCATGTATCATTACCAATCAGAATAGTTTTTTTAATTGTTGTTTGTCCTTGGACAGACTTCTTTTTCAATAAAAATCTCTTGTAATTTAAGTTATTAATAAAATCCAAACAAAACAATAAGTAGGTGATGTTATTGATTTGACTTTTAAAATTTTTCCATTCACACTGCCTATTACCTTATAATTTTTGCTTATCAACTTGTTTATAGTTGTTTACCATAATTACCCCTCTTAATAAATGATTGTTGCTGTATCTATAATACCACAATTAGTTTTCATTATGGATATTAATCAATTGATTTTTCACAATTGATCATTGATTTGCATTAGATTTTTATACTGCAAATAGCTTTTTGTCAATCTTCCTGATTGTTTTAAGTTTATGGTTGAGTTTGATTTAATTTTTGGCTACACTCATCAATTAATTGCAGTAATTATACAAATCTGTAAGCACACTTTCATGGTACAATAAACATAAAATGATAAAAATATGAATATATTAAAACAGGGCTAGGTCGCATGTCCAAAATTCTTATTTTAAAATTTTATTTAAAAAATTATCAAAAAAAGAACCTGATAAACAGACTGTGAACTAAGTCTGTTTTGCAACAAAGTAATTTGTTGTCCCGCATCAGAAAAAAGTCTTTCTGAAGGACTAATGAAAGGAATTGCCAAATATTTTTTGGCTAAAATAGAAAGTATTGGGAATTTTTTTCATTATCATTCCACCATTTTAATGGTTCATTTTCTTCAAATTTGATGTATATTTTTATATGCTCCAAATTTGTTTCTACTATTTCTCTATATTATTATTTTGATTCAATCAATTGGGGCATACTGCAACAAAACCAGACAAAGTGAACATTGGTATTACCAAGAATTTCAGGGATCAAAATTTAGTCATTTGTAATGTGATTATGATTATCAGTTTTATAATATCCATTTGTGATATATAGAATTATCCCTATATAAAAATAGTTAATATGAAACTCATTTACATCAGATCTACTATGGAACCCAAGAATTATAGTACTATCAGAAGTATTTTGAACAAAGAACAAGGTGAAAAAATTGCTCCTTATATTTTCAAAATAAATGATACTCAAACACTTGAAGCTTATCTAAGAAAAGAAAAGATTACTTATGAAATTTATCAAGAAGAAAGAAAAATAATAAATGTTAAGAAAAGAAAGCAAAATGTAATTGTATTATTATCCAATAAAAAGCAGAAACATTTGGAAGAAAAATAATCTTATTACAATATTGATTTAACAACATAGATCATAAGTTATATGGGCTATTCATAATCAAATAGGATTGTTTTTATATTCATCAGCAACTTTGGCAAAATCTTCATCTTTAAGTCAGAGACAATAATTTTAACATGATAGATACTAGATCCAGTAGTGCTATAGTTACATTTGTAATCAGAAAGAATGTAAATCTTATTTTTATCAGTAATAATGTAGCTGCCTTTTCATTATGTTGGATATCATAATAAGATATCAAAAGCCAGGATATTTTCTTTAACTTTATCTAAAAGACAGTTGGAATGAATTTCATTTATATTAGAGGAAAATACTTCCTCAATATTCTTTAAATTACTTTCTTATTTTCAATCAAGGTCATTTCTTAGTTTCTTTAATTTCAATTTGTGCAGTTTGTTGAGTTTCCTGTTTCCTTAATTGCTCAACCTCACTTTCAAGTCTTTGAACCTTATCCAATAATTCTTTCTTTTGATTACTATGCCAATCCTTTGAAACTTCTAAGGCTTCCAAATGAGAACTGATTTCTTCCTTAGCACTGGCTAATTGCTGTTTTAAGTCTTTATTTTGCTGTTCCAATCTGCCAACATAACTCTGTGCCATTATTTCTGTTATTGTTGGAGTTTTAACTGGTTCATCTTTCCTTAAATCACAGAAGCAGTCTATTCTGTTTCTCATAATTCAACCACAATCATCAAGAGCTTTTTTACACTTGACACAGATATAAGCAATGTCATTGTAATCATTATTACTTGTATTGTAAGACACTATTTTGTAAGTAGCAGTTAAACTTTCTCTTTCAAAAGGGCAGAAATTACAATGCCATTTATCTCCTCTTCTTAACTCATTAAACTGGTATTCTAATTTCATACTATTTATTCTTTTGTAAAATATAGGCATTGAATTTTTCTCTGGTGTTGGTTAGGAGCTTAAATTTGTTTTCTTTCCTTGGTAAAACTGGTAGTTCTCAAAGTTGCTTGTCTGCTAAATAATTCTGCCATGCCACAGTGTTTTCTAGCAGTTCCGTTTTTCTCAAAGCTTTTTCTAAGTTGTCATCTTTTTCCTTGCTTTGTCTTACTCTCCATTGTCTAGCTACTTCAAGAGCCTCTAAATGACATTCAGATGTTTCCACTTCTAGTTCTAATGCTCCTTCCAACTCTTGATTAATTTGCTGTAACTCAACAGCCTTTTTTTCTAGAAGAGCATCTTTTTCTTTTAATTCTTCTTTTTCTTGATAAGTAAAACCAAAAGCTTCTTCATAATTTAATGCTTCATGACCAAAACTTTTAACAATGTTTTCAGGAGTGAATTTGTTGCTAAAAACAACTCTTCCAATTTCAATTCCATTCTTTTCTGGATAACTTACTCAACCATTGTCAACTCAAGTAAATCTTCCTAAGGTTCTTAAACTTGTTCC